ATCCCACCACCTACCTGGAAAAAACCACCAGATCCAAAATAAAAGCCTCCCCCATTAGCGAAGAGATCCAGCAAAGAATCATTCCCAGAGAGAAATCATCCAGATGCCCCAAACTCTATGGTCTCCCCAAGATACACAAAGAAGGAACCCCACTCAGACCTATAGTCAGCTCCATAGGCTCACCTCTACAAAACCTAGCCAAATTTCTCGCCAAACAACTACAGCCCTATGCAGAATCCATCACCTCACACGTAAAAAACTCATTCCAGTTTATAGAGATCATAAAGAAACAAAACTTACAGCCCAGCGACCTACTAGTGAGCTTCGATGTCATATCCCTCTTCACCCAAGTGCCTATCAAAGAAGCCTTGACAGCTATTCAAAACAAATATAACCCCCCCAAACACATCTTAGATCTGACCAACCACTGCCTATCCAACACATACTTCATCTATAATGGACAAAAATACAAACAAACAGAAGGAGCACCCATGGGATCACCCCTCTCACCTGTCATTGCCAACCTCTACATGGAACACTTTGAAACCCAAGCTCTAGAAAAATCGGATCACAAACCCAAACTCTGGCTCAGATACGTAGACGACACCTTCATAATCTGGCCACATGGGAAAGAAAAACTGGACAACTTCCTCACACACCTCAACAGCCTACACCCCAAAATACAGTTCACCATGGAAACAGAAGCTAACAACCAACTTCCCTTCCTGGATGTCTTAGTCTACAAGAAATCCAATGGCTCCCTAGGACACACCATCTACCAGAAGAAAACACACACAAACCGCTATCTGCACGCTCTCTCACACCACCACCCAGCACAGATCAGTATCAACTCATCTCCAGAACAAAACGCTTAGCTGACGAACAACACCTAAAACCCGAACTACACACTCTCACCAATGTACTAACATCCAATGGATTCCATAGAAATAAGATTACAAACCTAATCCAAAAAGAAACCCCCACTAAAATCCAAGAGAAGAAAACGGCAAAGCCCTCCTCCCATACATAAAAGGCACCACAGACAGAATCAGTAAGATCCTCCATAAACACAACATCAAAACAGCATTCTGCACAAACAGAAAAATATCCACCATCCTTAGAAACCCCAAAGATAAAATTGAATTAGAAAATCAAGGAGTATACGAAATCCCATGCACCACTTGTCCCACCACATACATCGGACAAACCAACAGAAGAATAAGTGCACGCATTGAAGAACATAAGAACTCAGTCAAAAAAGAGGAACCAACATCTTCCCTGGTCCAACACCTTAAAGCCACAGGACATGAAATTGACTTTAAAAATACCAGAACCATTGCCAAAAGTGAACATTTTAATAACAGAATAATCAGAGAAGCCATCGAGATAGAAAAACGCCCACACAGCATGAACAAGCGAGATGATACCTCCCGCCTACCAGCCATTTGGAAACCTGCCCTTATTGACAAACGACTCCCTAACCCCAAAATCTTAAACCCCTCTGCAACTCAGACTAACCTGAGCACAACCAAACAGAACACTCCCCCAGCCAATCAGAGCACAGCCAAGCCCCTAACCATTCAGAACACACCTCCACCCAATCAGAACACAGCCAAGCTCCCACCCAATCAGTTCATACCCCCACTGGCAGTTAAAAGGAAGAAACAGCTAAGACCACACATTGCTGCTCAAAGCACGAAGCTGAAAACACCAGCCTGAAGATGACGAATGGGACTTCGTCGAAACGTTGCCAAGACACTTCCAATTTTACGCGGGAGAAAACCCGAACAACCAAAGACCTATATACAAATACCCGCGAAAACCTCAGAAAACATATATATATATATATATTATACCATACATACATACATACATACATACACACACACACACACACACACACACACACACACACACACACCTATAATAAAGGTAAAAAAGGATATATGCAGTGTTATCTTCATTTTAGATATCAACAGGGTTTTGCGGCTCCCGGTGTTTTCTTTTTGGTGGGAAACGGGTCCAAGTGGCTCTTTGAGTGTTTGGGGTTGCCTACCCCTGAGCTAGCCATACCCTTCTGAGATTCGAATCTGGGCTGATTGCATGTTAGGCAGCTGTATTAACCTCTAGGCCACAGGTTCTCCTTGCTTTGTCAGCTGAACCAGGGAGGAGAGATTAACTGTAACAGAGCACCCAGTCTCTCCTGGGATGCAAAGAAAAAATATCTGTTGTGAACTCCGCATGGTGTCAGGAAGGGCATCTGGCTAGTAAATGCTCAGTTCCATCCAGTCGCCCCAACTTTACCCCGAATTAAGGGATTACAGGGTCATAAAAAGGGAGTTTTATACACACACATGCACACACACACACACCTATACACACAGAGATAGAGAGATATAAATATATACACATACATATATATTCCTGGAGATTTCAAATGTAGATTAAACCAGCAGTGCTCTACCTGTCCATTTGCACGTACAAGAGGAGAGCAGAGAATAATAGATATGTATAGTAATTTGGCTTGCCCCTTATTAAGAAAACCATTTATCTTCATTAGAAATTCATTCCCTGCCCTCTCCTGCTTATCACGATAGTTTTTATTATGGTATGCTTCACTGCAGCATTGATGATTCTTGTGTCACTGGCATGTCACTTAAAACAGAGGAGCTGAATTACTGCAGTGCCCAGAAATTCCTATTTTCCTGCCAGATGGTGGGAATCTTGAAAATAAAAGTTCAACGTTTGAGATGTTGAGAAAGATAGAATCTGGAAATGCCTGCCTTGTGTTAGTTCAAATCTCTCTGGGGCTGGATGGATTGCATTGTAGAGTACTAAAGGATCTCCTTAATGCTTTTGCCAAAACTTTTACATATTATCGTTGATCAATCTTGGAGAATTGGCAAAGTGCCCTATGAAAAGGTGCAAATGTTATCACAATCTTTTGAATTTTCTCCATCATCTCAGTCATCCAGGTCATGGTTGTCCCAAAGGTGCTTTTTCAAGAGGCAACCGGACTTCCTTTGTTTTCCCCTGAAGACATTTCGCTTCTCATTCAAGAAGCTTCTTCAGTTTCTTCTTTCAGTTCTTCTCTGCAAAGAGTGCATTCCAGAACCGAAGAAGCTTCTTGGATGAGAAGCGAAACGTCTTCAAAGAAAAAAGAAGGAAGTCCAGTTGCTTCTTGAAAAAGCACCTTTGGGATTTCTCAATGACCCTTTTCCAAATTCCCAGTCTGACAATAATCCCTGGGCAGATATCTAGAACAATTCATAACACAAACTGATCTGAAAGCAGCTTGAAAACAATGGAGTAATTACCAGAAGACAGCATTATACTGACCAGAAATAAACAAATAAACAAATAATGGGATGAAATTTATCAAAACCAAATGCAGAGTTCTTCATTTATCAAATGCCCAAATGTAGAGTAGAAGATATTTGGTAACAGCACTGGTAGAGTTGCTGATTACAAACTGAGTACCAGCCTGTAGCAGTGACGTGGCTACAAAAATGGGAAATACACTTTTAGACTGTATCAAACAACGTATCATTTCCAACCCTTGGAAAGTGCTAGCCCAGGTAGTCCTTGACTTATGGCCATTTGCTTAATGGCCATTTGAAGTTACAAGGGCACTGAAAAAAGCGACTTAGGACTGCTCCTCAAACTTACGACTGCCGTAGTGTCCCTGCAGTCACATGATCAGAGTTCAGATGTTTGGCATCCATAGGGTGTTTATGACGGTCGCAGCATCCCGGGATCATTGCTTTAATATTTCAAAAATTATTATATTTTTTCAATGCCTTTTGAGAATCCAGCATACTAGGAGTCCCTGATTTAGGACTACAATTGAGCCCCAAAATTTCTCTTTTTAAACGGGACATTTGTTAAGTGACTTTTGCCCCATTTTACGACCTTTCTTGCCACAGTTGTAAAGTGAATCAGTGCAGTAAGTAGCAAGCTTGTTAAGCGAATCTGGCTTCTCCATTGACTTTGCTTGTCGCAAAAAGTGATCACATGGACTCGGGACACTGCAACTGTCATAAATATGAGTCAGTTGCCAAGCATCTGAATTTTGATTACATGACCGTGAGGATGCTGCAGTGGTTGTTAAGTGTGAAAAATGGTCAAAAGTCACTTTGCAAAGTTGTAACTTTGACCGGTCACGAACTGAACTGTTGTAAATCGAGAACTAACTGTACAATATTTGAATCAGCAATGCAATCCCCCCCCCCCAAGTTCCGCACTCCAGCTTGCATCTTGTTACTGATATGGAAGCACAGGGGCCTGCATAATACAGGGGTCTTCAAACTTGGCCCTTTTATGACTTGTGGACTTCAACTCCCAGAATTCCTCAGCTAGGCACAAGTCATAAAAGGGCCACGTTTGAAGACCCCTGGCATAATAGAATCCAAAACTTTATTTGGCCAAGTGTGATTAGACATACAAGGAATTTGTTTCTCAGTGTACATACAAAGCAACAGAGTAATCACTTTCATCATAATACCAATAAGAGGGGTTTGTAAGGATGATAAGAAGGATAATAATAATAATAATACTACAGGCATGCAACATGGGTAAATATACGTAGACATTAGAGAGTGCTGTGAGAATTAGGTGTTCAGCAGAGTGATGGCACAAGAGGAAAAAAACTGTCCCTATGTCTAGTTGTTTTGGCATGCAATGCCCTGTAGTGGCATCCTGAGATGAGGATTTGAAACAGTTTTATGTCCAGGATATGAGGGTCTGTAGATATTTTCTCAGCCCTCCTTCTGACCTATGCAATATACAGGTCTTCTATGGAAGGCAGGTTAAATATTAATCCATGATGCCTATGAATTTCTTTTTCAAATGAAGACTCTCTGTAATAACCTGTACCTAGAGAGGTATCACACTTCCCAACATCTTGCTAAAGTAATTCCTCATAACTGAATCCTTGTTGCCTTGAAAACCCCGTAATATATATTTGTCAAAAATATTTCTCCCATTTTTACCCCAAACAGATACTGAAGCAATCATGCACGGAAATTTTAAATCTGGAACCCTCAAGCGTTTGTGTAGGAGGTGAGTGTGCGACTGGAAAACAATGTGAAAATATTGACAATCCTGCTGTTACATCCTTGGGCAAAATGTGTAACTGTACTTCCATATGCTGAGTAGGAAGATGTGAATAAAAGGATCTTTCCTTTCCTTGCTCCAGTTTGCCAAAGCCTGCGTTGCAGATTTAAACTCTTACAGTTTCCTTTCCAGGAACCTTGGAAGTTGTAGATTTAAAATGAAGGCATATTTTGAGTATTGTATTGCGTATGTGATGGGACACTAACCTGGGGAGATTTGTTAGGTTTTCAACAGCTAGAATCTTCTGAACTATAATCAACATCTTCCTAGATCATCTCCACAATAATTTTGCGAAATAGAGTATCTTTCTCCAGTGGGGGCACAATCTTCATCCATGGTTTTCTCAACCTTGGCTATTTGAAGATGGGTGGATTTCAACCCCCAGAATCCCCCAGCATAACATAGTTGTCTGGGGAATTCTGGGAGTTGAAGTCCACCCATCTTCAAGTTGCTAAGGTTGAGAAACGCTAAAAATACTTTCACAGTTCTCAGCATTCCCAGCCAGCCTGACCTTTGCTGAGAATGCTGGGAGTTGAAATCCACACAGCTGGTGAGCACACCAAGCTGGCAAAGGAAGAACCAACATCTACAAGTAGTCCTTGACTTGTGACTATAATGGTGCCTGTCCATGTAGTTATAAGTCATGATGGTCATAAAGCAGGTCATCATATGACCGGACCCATTTTTATGACCATTGTTTGTTACAGGTGTTATCCCTGCAGTCATAAACAAACCCTTTTGCTGTGGGCTGTTTTTGCTGAAAACAGGAATTAAACGCCAGCATTGTACAAAAATGTCATATAATGTGGTCAGGTGACCGTGGGATTCTGCAAGTAGCTGTAAATGCGATTCATTTGCTGAGCATTCAACATGTGGTCACATGACTTTGGAGAGACGGCTGTTGGTTCTTTGGAAATGGATTGGTAGTCCTTGACTTACAGCCATTCATTTAGTGACCGTTCACTGAAAAAAGTGACTTATGACCGGTTTTTATACTTACAACTGTTACAGCATCCCCATGGTCATGTGATCAAAATTCAGACGCTTGGCAACTGGCATGTATTTATGACGGTTGCAGTGTCCCAGGGTCATGTGATCACCTTTTGTAACCCTGACAAGCAAAGTCAATGGGGAAGCCAGATTCATTTAAGAACCATATTCCTAACTTAACAACTGCAATGATTCACTTAACAATTGTGGCAAGAAAGGTCATAAAATGGGGCAAAACTCCCTTAACTGTCCCACAAAGCAACATAAATTTTGGGCTCAATTGTGGTCGTAAGTCAAGGACTACCTGTACCTTTGGAGGGATTTGCTGTAACTGGTCGCTAAGCGATGCCTCATAAGTCAAGGACTAGCTGTAAGGACCTCCCGTTGTCATTCAGTAAACTTTCTGCCTCAGCTAGCATTTCCCATTGAATTAGCTGCCATTAAATGTGGTGGGTTCTGTGAAATGTGGAGAGATTTCAGCTCATGAGGAGCAGTTTCCTGTCTCAGCAGTGTATGAAGTGGGATGAACAAGAAAGGAGCTGAAATCTGGGCCTTTCATTAGGTCAGGGGTCTTCAAACTTGGCCCTTTTATGACTTGTGGACTTCAACTCCCAGAATTCCTCAGCCAGTGTGCCTGGCTGAGGAATTCTGGGAGTTGAAGTCTACAAGTCACAAAAGGGCCAAGTTTGAAGAGTCCTGCATTAGATGAATTAATACTGACAGTATGCAAAAATATGTGCTTTTCCAACTTTTCAATTACCAGAAGAATGCTGGTTAACTTGCAGGAGGATTTTAGTTTTTGAAATGTATTGGTGTCCATTTAAAATGTTTGCCTCCCTTTAAACATTTTGAAAATGTTTCAAAAATAGAAACCTAGAAAATTGATAACAGAAAAAGACCTAGTAGCCCATCGAGTGTGCCCTTTGAGTTTTGTTTTGTTTTTTTGTTTTCCTTTTAATTAATGTATTCATTTATTTATGATTTTTAATTATTATTTTTACATTTTATTTGTATCTTAAAAACTAACCCTTTTGACTAAGAGAATTGAATTTGGCTCATCAGTGGAACAGCTTTTATTCACCGTGACACTTAGCAATAACTGCTAGAAATTACTATCATTCCTTTTGCGGATATTTAGTGATATTTCCTGACCAAAACTTGAAATATGAGGATTATTGCAGAGAAAGAAATGAAAGGGCTGGAACAGCTGTTTCTAATTTATGAATCCATTTCATAAGTTCTCAATTAGACTGGCTGTGGATGATGGAGTGAGTGACTGAACTGACTTGTTCCATTTCCTCTTGTGTATTCTTGAGCCAGGTTCTTTGTAAAATTTGTTCTAATTCATAAAACTCTTTGTGTTTGAGAGCATGAATTTTCTTCTTCTTCCCCCAATTTCTTGTTCCATCTTTAAAGTCAAGTCAAATCAATGTTTATTACATTTGTTAAAGACCAGAGCAAATTAAAAACACTCAAGGAAGATCCGGTACAAAATTCTCGAATAAAATGATAAATAACAAATAAAATCTATATTAAAACCATAATTTGCCACCCAATCTGTTGCACATGAACAAAACACAACATGGCCTAACTGTAATATAATAGCAATCCTTAAACTCTTAAACTCGCCTATAGCAGGGGTCTTCAAACTTACCCCTTTTATGACTCATGGACTTCAACTCCCAGAATTCCTCAGCCAGGCACGCTGGCTGAGGAATTCTGGGAGTTGAAGTCCACGACATAAAAGGGCCGAGTTTGAAGACTCCTGGCCTACAGTCATTAGATACCAAAATGCAAGAGAGTGATAATGCGAAAGGAGTTATTGCATTAGTTGTGTAAAATAGCTGTGATGGATTAATCGCCTGATTCTGAGAAATCCACAGTGCTGCTGTGCAGAATCCCATGTTAATAACAACAACAACAACAACAACAATAATAAAAATAAAGTTGGAAGGGACCTTGGAGGTCATCTAGTCCAACCCCCTGCTCAGGCAGGAAACCCTATACCATTTCGGACAAATGGCCGTCCAGTCTCTTCTTAAAAATTTCCAGTGTTGGAGCATTCACAACTTCTGGAGGCAGGTTGTTCCACTGGTTATTTGTTCTCACTGTCAGGAAGTTTCTCCTTAGTTCCAGGTTGCTTCTCTCCTTGAAAGTAAAAACCATCACAGTCCAGCAAGAGTTAGTCCGTCTGTGAGGAAAATGGGTGGTTTCAGAATTTGATAAATAAATAAAATATAGATTGTCCTTGACTTATAAGCATTCATTTAGTGATAGAAGTTACAGGGACACTAAAAAAAAAGTGAATCATGACCCTTTTTCACACTTACGGCCATTGCAGCATTCCCCATGGTCATGTGATTAAAATTCAGTCGCTTGGCAACTGGCTCATATTTATGACGGTTGCCGTGTCCTGGGGTCATGTGATCCCCTTTTGTGACCTTCTGACAAGCAAAGTCAGTGGGGAAGTCAGACTCACTTAACAACTTTGTTACTAACTTAACGATTGCAGTGATTCACTTAACAACTGTGGCAAGAAATATAGTAAAATAGGGCAAACTCACTTAACAACTGCCTTGTTTAGCAACAAAATTGTTGGGCTCAGTGGTGGTCATAAGTTGAGGACCACCTGTAAATAAATTGCTATCATGTTCTTCTCCTCCTTTGAGCCTGTTCTTGGCATCTTTCATTTGAATGAGTAGGAGGAGTAAAAAAATTGGGAGATGCACAGAACACCTAAATTTAAATTTTGGATATGTTAGCATTTCATTAGTAGCTAGATGGAGAATGTAAACAGACAACTGCCACTCTTAGATGTGTAGGAAATAAAGAACACTTTAGTACTACAAGGTAAAGAAGAGCTTACTCTGATTTAAATTCAGAGATGTTTAGGAATCAACCTTTAACTGTCAGACTACAGCTGTAAATTATACTGTTTATGACTTACAGTAAATATTTAGTCTTTATGGAAAATTTCTTTTGAAGCCTGGCAGGAGAATATTTTCAGAGGCAGCATATTCTACCTCACGGGTGAACCAAAGTCTGTTACAGATGTTCAAAGTTACAACGGCTGGAAAAAAAACAAAAAAAAAACAAAAAACGTTTTTCACACCTATGACCCTTGCAGTATCCCCATGGTCATGTGATCAAAATTTAGCCACTTGGCAACTGGCATGTATTTATGATAGTTGCAGTGTCCTAGGGTCATGTGATCACTTGGCAAGAAAAGTCAATGGGGAAGCCAGATTCACTTAACAACTTACTAATTTAACAACTCTAGTGATTCATTTAACAATTGTGGCAAGAAAAGTCATAAAATGGGGTAAAAATCACTTAGCAACTGTCTTGCTTAGTAAAAGAAATTTTGGGTTCAGTTGTGGTTGTGAGCTGAGAACTGCTTATATTTGGCTTTTGGGGCCGAGCCAAAAAAAAGCTCCTGATTTAGTTTACTTTAAATTAAAATTAGTCCATATGATTATTCCCTTATATTTAATAATGATCCCCTATTGTGTTAATAATTTACCCTTTCCATCATATTAAAATCTATAATTTAATGACAACTACTGGATGGATTGTAAAGGGCTGCAGATAGCATCTCTCTTGTTTTACAATTTAAACAAAGAGAGACATTAAGAAGATGATGGTTTGGATAAACACATCTGCGATCCTAATTACACCCTCTCAAAATTCACGGGGAAATTTGGTGAAAAGAATTGTCACTGGGGATATATATCAACTGACCTCCCACTCTCTCCCTCCTTCTCCAGCTGCTTTACAAGAACAAGAATTTATTGATGTGTTTTGCTTTCTTTCTAAAACCATAGGCGTTAAATATAAACACTATCAAGCACTGAGTATAAAATATTAAGAGTTTATCTTGTTCTCAAAAGCCAGTGAGAAAACTTGGCATGGATCTACTTGCTGATAACTTGTTGGTTCTGCTTTTCAGAGGAATTTCAAGTAGTTCTAAGTGGAACAGGATTCACGTTGGGTAGGACATCAGAGAGTGTCGTCTGCAGTTACATGCTAAATGGATCAACCATAAGTAAGTATCCCTGCAGCAAAGAGCATTTGAGTCATCAGATTACAGATAGTCCTTAACTTACAACTGTTCATTTAGTGACTATCGGGTGTGAAACTTTGGCAGCGACCTGTCTCTGCGTTTCAACTTGCTTTTAGATAAAGAGGGTGGGAGGTGTTACTTTCAAGTGGGTAGACAGAGAAACGAAGCTTCTTCGATTCAGCTGCAGACCATGGGAGCCTGAAGCCTTGTCAAGGACACCCGAACAGGTGTGGATTTGAAGGGGACGGTTCCCATAACAAAGTGGACTTGTTGATATGGATTACATAAGACGTTGAGGGTTTGGCTGGGAAAACTATTGTTTAAGTCTGTGAACTGTTGTGGGAACCTCAGAGTTAGTTTTGCTTCGACCTAATCACACAGTGTATTCAATAAACCTCAAGATTTCGGAAATGGAATTAATCTGAAGTTTTATTTGGATTCTCGAGCTGGATGTTAATAGTGACCATTTGAAGTTACAACAGCACTGAAAAAAGTGACTTATGACTATTTGTCACACGACCATTGCAGCATCCCTGTGGTCGTGTGATGAGCATCCAGACACTTGGCAACTGGTTCATATTTATGACAGTTGCAATATCCTGGAGGTACGTGGTCCCCCTTTGTAACCTTCCAATGAGCAAAGTCAATGGGGAGGCCACATTCACTTAACAAATGTCCTGCCAACTTTACAACTGCAGTGATTCACTTAGCAACTGTGGCAAGAAAATGAGGCAAAACTCACTTAGCAGCTGTCTTGCTCATCAACAAAAAATTTGGGCTCAATTGTGGTCGTAAGTCGAGGGCTACCAGTATAAACTCTTGAACTCTCTGCTGTGTTCTTCAAGCTGGCCGAGAATATTGGAAGTGTGAGAATTTGGGTAAAACGGAAACAAGGACATCATAATATTGGAGGCAGTGGTAGGATTTAGCTGGTTTGCACCTCTTTGGCAGAACTGGTAGCTAATTTTTTGTTGCCCAGGCCCAGAATGGATTTCCGGAAGCGACATCCAGACGAAGAACCGGTTGTTCACATATTTGAGTCCCACCACTGATTGGAGGCATAAAAGTTTGTATGAAAAGGGAGACAGAGAGATCACAACTGTCTCCCTTTCATACAAATGATCATGCTTACCCATGTCCGTAGCGATCTTTGGGGGGCCTAAGATTGAATCAAGGAAGAGGAATATGTATTAAGGCAACACTTGACTTATTAACCACTTCCGATTTGTAATGGTATGCAGGAATGGTCTTGGCAGACAGGGGGAAGCATCCCTGCTTCAGACAAGAAGGCGGTGCAGAGAGTGGTGAGGATGGCAGAAAAGATAGTAATAGTAATAGTAGTAAAGTTGGAAGGGACCTTGGAGGTCATCTAGTCCAACCCCCTGCTCAGGCAGGAAACCCTACACCATTTCGGACAAATGGCTGTCCAGTCTCTTCTTAAAAACTTCCAGTGTTGGAGCATTCACCGCTTCTGGAGGCAGGCGGTTCCACTGATTAATTGTTCTCACTGTCAGGAAGTTTCTCCTTAGTTCTAGGTTGTTTCTCTCCTTGGTACTTCCCTCCCTTCCATCCAGAACATAAGCATATACTGTAAGCATTGCTTGAGCAGGGTCTGCAGGATTGTCTGGGACAGTACACACCCTCTTCACAACCTGTTTTCCTTCTTACCTTCTGGGAGAAGGCAGCTTCGTGGTATCCGAAGCAGAGCATCCAGATTCAGTCATAGTTTCGTTCCATACAGTATTAATCGTGTGAACTCTCAACTTTCCTCTTTCCACTATGTATTCAAGATGGACAGTGATTAACATTTATATGTTTTATATATATATGTAAGGATGTAGGTTTTTATGCATATGTTGTATATAGCACGTTTAAATGTGTGTTATGTATGTGTACACTTTGAGAGCAAGCACCTAAATCTCATTTTTAATGTGTGCCAGTGTGCCCACAATAAAAAAAAAAAGACAATAAAGGTTAACTGTCTAGAAAAGTCGCAGACTAGACAGCAGCCTGATAAACCAAATCTGAGGAGTGGAGGGTGGAGAAAGCATGTTGGAAAGGACCCTTCCTAGTTTTCAGGAGAATAAATGTAAGGGAGGAGACCCTACAATAACCCTGCAATAAAGGTAGCATTAATATAGGCAGTTCTCGACTTATGACCACAGTTGAGAAGGTTGCAAAAGGAGATCACGTGACCCCGGAACACTGCAACCATCATAAATATGAATCCGTTGCCAAGCATCCAAATTCTGATCACATGACCATGGGGATGCTGCAGTGGTTGTAAATGTGAAAAAATGGTCATAAGTCACTTTTTTTTCAGTGACGCTGTAACTTTGAACGGTCAACAAATGAACAATTGTAAGTTGAGGACTACCTGGAAGGAAGGCAGGTGTCCAGCAGGGACTTAGCTTGGAGTTCTTGCGCAACCAGAAGAGGCAAAAGGTGACTTCCCTAAAATCTATGTAACCTTATCTGGTTGTTCCTGCGGGAAGGATACCACAATAATAGAATAACAAAATAACGGAGTTGGAAGGGACCTTGGAGGTCTTCTAGTCCAACCCCCTGCCCAAACAGGAAATCCTATACCGTTTCAGACAAATGGTTGTCCAATCTCTTCTTAAAAACCTTCAGTGTTGGAGCACTCACAACTTCCGGAGACAAGTCGTTACACTGATTAATTAGTCCATCCAGTCTGGGAAGATTCTTATAACATGGTAGAAATCAGTAAAGTTGCTATCAGAAGTTATTCAGGCTGGTTGCTTGCTCCTGAAAATTGATGGTTCACTGATGGATTCTCTCATCTTTATGGATCAGAAGACATTCTCCGATTAGTAATAGTAATAGTAGTAAAGTTGGAAGGGACCTTGGAGATCATCTAGTTCAAACCCCTGTTCAGGCAGGAAACCCTACACCATTTCGGACAAATGGCTGTCCAGTCTCTTCTTAAACACTTCCAGTGTTGGAGCATTCACCACTTCTGGACCAGGTTGTTCCACTGGTTACGGTAATTGTTGTCACTGTCAGGAAATTCCTCCTTAGTTCTAGGTTGCTTCTCTCCTTGCTTAGTTTCCACCCGTTGCTTCTTGTCCTGTCTTCAGGCAACTTGGAAAATAGCTTGACTCCCTCTTCTTTATGGCAGCCCCTGAGATATTGGAACACTGCTCTCATGTCCCCCCTCGTCCTTCTCTTCATTAAACTAGACATCCCCAATTCCAGCAACCGTTCCTTATATGTTTTAGCCTCCAGTCCCCTAATCATCTTTGTTGCTCTTCTCTATATTCTTTCCAGAGTCTCAACGTCTTTTTTACATCGTGGTGACCAAAACTGGATGCAGTATTCCAAGTGTGGCCTTACCAAGGCATTGTAAAGTGGTATTAACACTTCACGTGATCTTGATTCTATCCCTCTGTTAATGCAGCCCAGCACTGACAATTATAGAGCTTATGGTGTTTTGATCTTTTGTTTGCTTGTTTTTAGATGTAAAACCCGAAAAAGTGGAAACCAATTTCATGCTGTGTCCAGCACCTGCTCTTCATGAAGTTGGACAGTAAGTACTTTATCCCATTGAGGCATAAGGTGGGGTGAGGGGAAGGAGCTTATTTCACGGATGGACAGGTAGTCCTCGACTTACAGCCGTGTGTTTAGCGATCATTCGAAGTTATGGCGACACTGGAAAAATAGACCTACGAGCAGTTCTTGCACCTAACAACTGTCGTAGCATCCCCATAGTCATGTGATCCAAATTTGGATATTTGGCAACTGGCATGTATTTACCACAGTTGCAACGTTTCAGGTCATGTGATTGCCAATTGTGGCCTTCCCAGCTGGCTTCTGACAAGTAAAGACAATGGGAAAAGCTGGATTAGCTTACCAACCTACTGATCCAGTTAACAACTGTGGGAAAACAGGAATAAAATCAATCAATCAATCAATCAATGGAGCTGGAAGGGACTTTGAAGGTCTTCTAGTCCAACCCCCTGCTCAAATAGGAGATCCTATACCAGTGGTTCTCAACCTTTTTAATGCCGCGACCCCCAACAGTGCAGCACTGTTTGCAGAATGGGACTTTTGGCGGGCTCAGCAGGGCAGAGACAGCCTGGACAATTCCCATTGGCTTTGGAAAGCCAATAGAATTAAATTCTATTCAAGAGAGTCTATTCTATTGGCTTTCAAAAGCCAATAGAATAAAAGAGAGTAGCGCAGCTAAGGAAAAGGGGGAAAAAATGGCGGACTGCGTTGTTTGGTGACCCCCGTGAAATGGTCGTTTGACCCCAAATGGGATCCTGACCCACAGGTTGAGAACCACTGTCCTATACCATTTCAGACAAGTGGCTGTCCAGTCTTTTCCTAAAGAAGCTCCCACAACTTCTGGAGGCAAAGCTGTTCCACTGGTTAATTGTGTTCTCGCTGCTGTTAGGAAGTTTCTCCTTAATTCCACGTTGCTTGTCTCTTTGGTCAGTTTCCAACCATTGTTTCTTGTCCTGCTCTCTGGTGCTTTGGGGAATAGGTTGACCCCCTCCTCTTTGTTACAACCTCTCATATCCTGGAATATTGCTATCATGTCCCCACTAGTCCTTCTTTTCTCTAGACCAGGGGTAGGCAATCTTTTATGACTTGTGGACTTCAACTCCCAGAATTCCTGAGCCAGCCATGCTGAGGGGAAACGGAGACTTTCCAAGCTGAGCCAGGCTGGCTCAGGAATTCTGGGAGTTGAAGTCCACGAGTCATAAAAGAGTGGTTTTGTGTTCTGCCTGCATCCCGTGGATGGGGCTTTGCTTGTTTGTGTGGACTGGTTGCTGGCATGCCGTGGCCCCGTACTGGTCCATGGACCGGGGCTTGGGGACCCCTGCCCTAGAGGTTTCCCTTTTGGTAGTGTATATACAGAGGGAACATTTTTTTCCTACTTCAGGAAAAAAAATGATGAAAAGAGATGGGCATTTGGAATGGGTGACTTTTTCGGAGGATATTAGAGTTGTTAGCATGTAGCTAGACATTTGCATAGCATACTTAGTAATCTGATTCTGTAAGCTTTGAGCTTAGGGCAGTCAGGAGCAGTTGGGAAGATAATTTTATGATTTGTTTAAAGAGTTTGGTGGGAAGCCTCCAATTGTAAAGTAACTAATACTAGCCCAACAGGCTAAATGAGAACGAGAAAAGCTTCATGTTTGGGTAGTGCCATTTCCCCCCCCCCCCTTTTTTTGGCAAGTACGGGTAGGGAGTTAGAGTTAGAATAGTAACCCTTAACTAGCATGTTGAGTAGAAAATTCTAGGCCAACATAATGCATATTTTAATGTGCTGAGGATAAAGTCCAAGTTGAAAGCACAGAAGCATTGCTCAATTTCTCTCCCCCCCCCCTTTAGAGTCTGAAATGGTACATCCGAACATCATGTTGAGCTCATCTGTTTTAGCTGCAAAGTGATCACTACAGTGCAACCTGCCAAATGAGCACAAAATGTGCTGAATTTTTATTGCATGTCTTTCCAACCTTGGTGCAAACGAGGAGAACATGTTGTATTTTTATTGTGTTGGGCTACAGTTGTAGTTTTATTGTGTTGGGCTACAATAGTCACGCTGGACAGGGTCGCTGCAGTCAGCACACTAAATTATAATGGTGGGGGCCAGACAAGCACTAAATAGACCTGAAGCGCTCTCTCTCTCTCTCTCTCTCTCTCTCTCTCTCTCTCTTTTGCATAGTCCATATTACAGATCTTTGGCCCATACATGCACAGATATTACATAATAAGGTGGACTTGCAAAAAGAATTTTAGCTCATTGGATGGACATATAAAGTCTTGTGGCTTTGGAGAGACTTAAAAAAAAATACAATGGGAAATTTGGCCTAGGTTGCTTGTAACCGAATACAGAGTTGACATCCTTGAAAGCAAATGTAGGTATTTGAACTTCTGACTTTTCTATTGGCATAATTTGTGCTGTTGTTGGACACCGAGCAAAGCCTCTCTTTCAAGTGGAGTGAGCTTTAGATGCTAACTCACTAGCAGTTTGCAAACTGCTTCTCTCCCTCCCTTCTCCAGTGGGGTTTGAATGTGGAGTAGATTAAGTTAAAACGATGCGAAAGTTATAGCCGTGTCTGCTGCTAATAAACGCAAATATGCTGGCACACGAGAGAAGACTAGCTAAAATAGTCATCGTTGGCAAATTGCTGGACTGGGTTGCCCTACTGACCAATCAAACATCTCTGTTGCCAGTTCCAGTTGAGGGAGGAGATTATCCATTATCCTTTGGCCCCCAACAAACAGTCTCCTGCCTTTTGCCTCGTTGACAAAGCTGAATTTATCAAAGGTTGGAGAAAGAATGACAGCATCTGTCAGCAGAGAGAGCAATGGCAAATTAGGAGTTAGAATAAACATTAGCATCCTGAGGCTTGCTTGCAGCGCACACATTAAACTAACACATTTTATTCTGAATTTACATAAGTTTAAGCTCACTCTTTTCTTTTATGGGTTCACTTTCTGCAGAGAAGGGGAAGCTGGCACATAAGGTATCAGAACTGGCACACAGATCCTGGGGGGGGGGGAGGGAATTCATTTAGCTTTCTTTTGACTTCTGAGGTTTTAGTAGTTGTGGGTTAGGTTTTTGAAGATTCGTGCCTGGTCTATTCCTATAGATTTTAGCATTGAAAAATACCCCTACCTCTTGTTTGGCCAATGGATTGAAAAAACCTTTGGGAATTCTGGTTGGCAGCCTGTACAAAACCCAGAGATTTTTATTTTGGTCTTTCTTCTCAGCTGCTAGATCAGTGGTTCTCAACCTTTTTAATGCCGCGACCCCCAACTGGTCGTAAGTCGAGGACTACTCAACCAGTCGTAAGTCGAGGATTACTCAACTGGTGCAGCACCGTTTGCAGAATGGGACTTTTGGTGGGCTCAGCAGGGCAGAGACAGCCTGGACAATTCCTATTGGTTTTTGAAAGCCAATAGAATTAGACTCTATTCAAGAGAGTCTATTCTATTGGCTTTCAAAAGCCAATAGAATAAAAGGGAGTAGCACAGCTAAGAAAAAGGGGAAAAAAATAGCGGACTGCATTGTTTGGCGACCCCCGTGAAATGGTCGTTCGACCCCAAATGGGGTCCCAACCCACAGGTTGAGAACCACTGTGCTAAATGTTTATGGAGAATCTCAATCATCCAGGTCATAGTTGTCCCAAAAGTGTTTTTTTCTAGAAGGTAATTGTATTTCCTTGGGTTTTTTTTTTCTTCTTCTTTGAAAAGGTTTTACTTCTCATCCAAGAATCTTCTTCAGAACTGAAGAAGATTTTTGGATGAGAAGTGAAATGTTTTCAAAGAAAAATAAAATAAAATAAAAAAACCCAAGAAAATCGAGTTGCCTTTTGGGAAAAAAAAAAGCACTTTGGGGACTTCTTAGCTGCTAGTTTTCTGATCATCCTCATTGCTTGTCTTGACAATTGTGACAGTTGGTTTGGTCCCTTTTAAAGTTTTGCAGCTAGCACTAGACCAGGGGTAGGCAACCTTGGCTCTCTTTATGACTCGTGGACTTCAACTCCCAGAATTCCTGAGCCAGCCATGCTGAGGGGAAAGGGAGAGTTTCCAAGCTGAGCCGTGCTGGCTCCGGAATTCTGGGAGTTGAAGTCCACGAGTCATAAAAGAGCCAAGGTTGCCTACCCCTGCACTAGACGCAGGCAGTCCTCAATGTATGATCACAATTCAGCCCAAATGTTCCGTTGCTAAGTAAGGCAGTTGTTAAGTGAGTTTTGCTCCATTTTACAACCTTTCTTGCCACAGTTGTTAAGGGAATCACTGCAGTTGTTAATAACACAGTAATAGTAGTAAAGTTGGAAGGGACCTTGGAGGTCATCTAGTCCAACCCCCTGCTCGGGCAGGAAACCCTACACCATTTCGGACAAATGGCTGTCCAGTCTCTTCTTAAAAACTTCCAGTGTTGGAGCATTCACCACTTCTGGAGGCAGGTTGTTCCACTGGTTAATGGTTCTCACTGTCAGGAAGTTTCTCCTTAGTTCTAGGTTGCTTCTCTCCTTGATTAGTTTCCACCCGTTGCTTCTTTTCCTGCCTTCAGGTGCTTTGGAAAATAGCTTAATTCCCTCTTCTTTATGGCAGCCCCTGAGATATTGGAATACTGCTATCATGTCCCCCCTTTTCCTTCTCTTCGTTAAACTAGACATACCCAATTCTCGCAACCGTTCCTTATATGTTTTAGCCTCCAGTCCCCTAATCATCTTTGTTGCTCTTCTCTGTACTCTTTCTAGAGTCTCAACATCTTTTTTACATCGTGGTGACCAAAACTGGATGCAGTATTCCAAGTGTGGCCTTACCAAGACAGTTGTTAAGTGAATCTGACTTCCCCATTGCCTTTCTTGTCAGAAGGTTGCAAGAGGTGATCACATGATCCTGGGACACGGCAGCCTTCATAACTGTGAGTCAGTTGCCAAGAGTCCGAATTTTGATCACGTGACTCTAGGGATGCTCAACAGTTGCAAGTGTGAAAACTGGGCACAAGTCATTTTTTCAATGCTGTTGTAACTCTGAACGGTCACTAAATAAATGATTCTT